TCCACTATTTAAGTGGCCATGAGCCCCATGAGAACAAATCGACATTTGGAACTTCATAATATTGTAGTAACATAGCAGGCATACAAAACAACAATACATCATTTGCTATTGAACTGGCAATGAGACCTATGGGCAACAATATAAATTTGGAAGTTGTTAATAATGCATGTAGATTTATATCCTTATATCTATTTTCTTTCGTATCCCAATCATTGGAGTAAAATGAAATACACTTTAGTATTTATAGGTGCAAGGTATGATGTGGCCAGCTACCAAACATTGATATGAAATATGACCCAGATATTAGTAAACCTTTATCAAGCAATCAACCACATAGTGTATCATAGAGAGAAAGAGAAATATATGATGGACAAAGTTGTCATATTTAAAAATTAGTTATCACACCATCCCAAAAGCTATTCTACATAGCAATGAGGTCCCTGGGTTACCTTCCCAGACAATGCGAAATTTATCCATATATATGTTTCAGGCAACCCAGGGAATGGAATTAGCAAAGCACTAGATGACTATGGAACAAATAAAGCAAAACTTAAAAATCAAATATTGATATAATTGAGGCTCATTTAGTTGTTGGGGATGGAAAAACCTATAAAACTCTATTCTATATCTATATCTATACCTACTAATAAAGTAAGGTGCGTTTCTCCAATTTTTTCATCCGTTCACCATCAAATTTTTTTTCTATCCGAGGTGGTACTAAACTTTTGTCGTCGTCTGTTAGCAAAGGAAAAACGATTTCTGCAGAATTACATGCGTGGACCACGCGCACTATGGCCCAGTAAAGTCAGCTCAGTTTTCCCTGCCCACGCAGCAATAAAAAACCATATTTCCCGCACAATGCGACAAATAGTTTCAGCTACGCACAGGGCGCCCAAGACTCGGCGGCCCATTTTTGCTCGTGTTTTGTTTCAATTTTTAGTTTTCTGTTTCTGTCTCTTTGTAGTTCCTATTTCTTTTTTATTTTATCAATTCTGAGTCTATTTTTTTACTTTTATTCTGAAATTCGAAATTTTCAAAAAATGTTTGCAATTTCAATTTTTATTTAAAAATTCGTAAAAAGTTATGAATTAAAAAATGTGTTCCTATTCAAAAAATGTTTGGATTTTTTTCTCATGCCAATAATTTTTCAAAATTTTAAAAATATTTCCATTTTTCAAAAAAAAAACGTTGTTATTTTCCAAAAAAACAAGAGTAAAAAAACATTTGACAAAGGTTCCAAATTCGGAATTTTTTTTGTTTTAGCGATATGTGCAAAAATTGAAAGTAATGTTGGCATTAAAGAAACACATTTTCTAAAATTCTTCTGAATTTTCAAAACATAATCTAATTTAAAAAATTGTTCGCAACTTAAAAAATGTTCGTATTTTTTTATAAAGGTTCATGTTTTTAAGAAATTTATGCGAATTTCAGGAAATGTTCAGTTCAAATTTTTTGTTCTTGCTTTGTCTTAAAATCTATGGAATTTTCAAAAAAATGTACATGTTGCCAAGTATATTCGGTAGTTCATGTTATGAATTCCAAACTTGTGTTCATTCTAAAAAATGTTTACAATTTAATTTCTTTTGTCATTCTGATTTTTTCTGAATTTTAAAAATTATTCCATTTTTTTGGAAAATATTTAGTTTTTTGGAATTTGTGGAAGTTTTAAGAAATGTTACAAATTTGCAAAATATTCTCGTTTTTGTGATATATTGAAAAAGTTGAAAATAATGTTTGCATTAAAAGGCACATTTTCTAAGTTTCTTCAAACAAAGTTTCTTAAAAGGCAAATAATGTGTGCCTTTTAATGCAAACACTATTTTCAACTTTTTCAATATATCACAAAAACAAGAATATTTTTCAAATTTGTAACATTTTTTAAATCTTCCACAAATTCGAAAAAACTAAATATTTTCCAAAAAACTTGAACAATTTTTAAAATTCAGAAAAAATCAGAATGACAAAAGAAATTAAATTGTAAACATTTTTTAGAATGAACATAGTTTTGGAATTTGTAACATGAACTACCGAATATACTTGGCAACATGTACAATTTTTTGAAAATTCCATAGATTTTAGGACAAAGCAAGAACAAAAAAATTTGAACCGAACATTTCCTGAAATTCACATAAATTTCTTAAAAACATGAACCTTTATAAAAAATAAGAACATTTTTTAAGTTGCGAACAATTTTTTAAATTAGATTATGTTTTGAAAATTCAGAAGAATTTTAGCAAATGTGTTTCTTTAATGCCAACATTACTTTCAATTTTTGCACATATCGCTAAAACAAAATATTTATCGAATTTGGAACATTTGTCAAATGTTTTTTTAATCTTGATTTTTTTGGAAAATAACAATTTTTTTTGGAAAAATGGGAATATTTGTCAAATTTTGGAAAATTATTGGCATGACAAAAAAATCCAAACATTTTTTGAATAGGAACACATTTTTTAATTCGTAACTTTTTACAAATTTTTAAATAAAAATTGAAATTGCAACCATTTTTTGAAAATTTCGAATTTCAGAATAAAAGTAAAAAAATAGACTTAGATTGTGAAAAAAATAAAAAATAAGTAGGAACTACAAAGAGAAAGAAACAGAAAACTAAAAATTGAAACAGAATACGAGCAAAAACGGGCCGCCGAGTCTTGGGCGCCCAGTGCGTAGCTGAAACTATTTGTCGCATTGTGCGGGAAATATTATTTTTTATTGCTCCATGGGCAGGGAAAACTGGGCTGACTGTACTGGGCCATAGTGCGCGCGGTCCACGCACGTAATTCTGCAGGAATCATTTTTCCTTTGCTAACAGACGACGACAAAAGTTTAGTACCACCTCGGATAGAAAAAAAATTGATGATGAACGGATGAAAAAATTGGAGAAACGCACCTTACTTTATTAGTACTAGGAAATATGCTCATGCATTGCAACGGGAGGAAAATAATATCTCAGCATTCTCTATATCCCCGCAACACTCTTCCACATCCTTTATGTGAACACAACGCCCGATCTATATTGTTGCTTAGCCTGCTTTCTGCCATCGTTGGCCCGCGAGATCTTGATAGTGGTGGGGTTGGTCGGTGTAGTGGCGACCACCCAACTGATGCCCTTTTCTCCTCCGGGTCCACCTCCGTCTCGAAGTTGTGGTTGCATTCTCATTTGGTTGCTACACGGCGACCTTCGAGGCGCTGTTGCTTCGACTATTCTCTCCTACGATGATGTAACCGAACGATTACTAATTGCAGCGCATAAATTTTGTTTGATTGGCATAATTAGCGCATAACCAGGCATGAATGTCCCTTCATTATCAGGGTTTATTCTCTTTGACTATTTTTGCGCTCATGTGCCCACATTTTTTTATTAATTAGAGCAAAACCAGCATATTATCTTTTATTAGCACATGCCCATAATTTTTTTAATTATAGGCTATAGACAACCAACATATTGTCTTTTATTGGCATGTGCAAGTTACCTCCGGCAATAATCTGTGGAGTACCACGTTCTGCACATGATTCTCGAGACAACTTCCTTTTTGTCACACAACCTTCTTATTTCCAGACAACTTAGGCACATATAAAAACATGTGTGATTTAGTATAAAATTCCAAGGTGAGACTGTTCCTATCATAATTGCAAGCTATTTGAGTTTTGGCTTTGTTCGTCGACACAATATGGAAGGTTCATAGTTCAATCCCCTCGCGCCCTTAATATTTTGCTGGTTGTTAGTGTGACAGAAAAAGGAAATTCGTGGTAGGCCCAGTTGGGGATAAGCGAAAAAAATGGAGAACTACGTGTGGAATGGACGGAACAAAATCTATATGGATTTTTTTGCTTTTCGTGGGGCAGCTGTGTGGGAGTTACAATATGACGCTAGTTCCACCAAATAGCGCGTGGAACGGACAACCAATCCCGTCTGGGCCAGCTACTGGCAGGCACCAAAATGACATGTGTTTACAGGGCATGACTAATAATCCATAAAAACGATAGGTTGAACGATCGAAAAGATGACCTTAAAGACTCGACCACGTGCTGCTAGCCATGGCAACAAACACCAACAGCTAACGAATGGCCAACACAAATATTTAAGAACATACTACAACATCAGATTTATTTATTTTTAAATTTTTTAAAAATATGAATTGCCGAATATTCTTGGAAAATTGGATGTTTTGTGAAATTAAGAACAATGTTTTTCTGAAGACATGAACCTTTTATGAAAACACAAACTTTTTTGAAGTTGTGACCGACTTTTAAAAATGGAACATGTTTTGAACATTTCGAACAATTTTATAAATTTCATTTTTAAACGCAGACATTAACATTTTACTAAAACAATAATATTTTTTGAATTTGAAATATTTTTAAAATGCATTTTTTTCGAAAATACCAATTTTTTTAATATGTCCTTAATTTCGAAAAAAATGGGAATGAGAATTTGTTCCAAACATTTTAAGAAACGGAGTAATTATGAACATTTTTCAAAAAGTTGAAAATAAAACAAAATTCTGAACTTTTTACTCCCAGTGCAGCAGATAGTCAAAATAAATAAATGGAAGGAAAAACGAAACGGGCCAGCACGGTTTTGTGCGCCCCGTGCGAAGGTCTAACTATCTGCCGCACTGGGGTCAAATAGTGTGTCCGCAGCTTCCTGAGCAGGCAAATAAGTGGGCTGGCTATGGTGGGCCACAGCATGTTCGGCCCAAATACGAAAAATCTGGATTGCTAAAATAAAAAACAGGCGAAAGCACAAATATTTAGTACCACCTCGGATAGAACAATAAGTTTCAACGGTGAACGAATGAAAAAATTGGAGAAACGCACCTTGCTTTATTAGTAGGTATAGATATAGATGCAAGCATACAATTGTCCATGCACGTCTCCAATACACTCCGAGACATACAAATTATTAGATCCGGATTAACTGAAACTAAAATATTCAACAGACATAGGATAGGAGGTGCTCAAAGAAAAAAAAATGAGGTGCATACGACACTAGCTGGCTAGAACTTGGAATACACCATGCTCTCAAACTTGGCATACAACAAACGCTTGAACTCCTTGAGAATTGAAGCCTCTATACACATGACTAGGCGTATGCTGCCATCCCCATGCCCGCTGTCAATCAGGTGCACATAGCCTCCGCGGTTTGATTCAGCACGCAACATAGCCAATGGCTTTCCCCAACTGAAATCCACATCATACACCGGCATGCCAAGCCAACTAACCACTCTCATATCTGTCGCTGGCAAACTGCCTGTAGCAGGGCGGTTGTCCGTCTTTGCTAGCTCGAGGTAGTCGACTGCAGAATGCACTAGCTCATCGTCCACCCGGCTGAGGCTGTCTCTAATCCGGCGCACTATGTAGGCCAGGTCACCTGAGGCGATGCCCCGTGCTTCGTTGGCAACACTTACATATGTTATCGCGTTGCCGAAGTAGCCGTCCGGAAGAGGCGGCGTCATACTGCGCCGAACATTGGCCGGGAACACGAGGCGCGTCGTGCAGTTCGGCGGTAGCCGCCGGGCCAAACACATGCACTGCCACATGTGGGCACTCACGACACTAAAGGTGCTCATGTCGCCACCGCAGATGCGCTTGAGAGTGGAAACTTGGCCCTTGCCAAGGGTGAAAACCTCGTTGACAACCGGCCCCGACAGCTGCGACATGTTTACCTTGAGGCAAAAAATGGAGAGGGTGTCGGGATGAACAAAGGGTGGGTTGCGCGCAAACAAGAGGCTGCGGTCGTGGTAGGGGGTCTTCATCACAGCCCAGTCGCCCTCCCTTGAGAAAGCAGACCATGTCTGGAAGAAGTGGAACGCGGCAGTGCCATCCATAGCGCCATGGTGCACTGCCGTCCCTAAGGCCACCCCACCACACTTCAAGAATGTCACCTACATATATGAATTTGTGGCACATATTACTTGCTTGTTACTATATGTTTGCACTATTATAGTGAGTTTGTTAAACAGAAAGACAAAAAGAAACCTACTCCCACCGTTCTAAACTAATTGAAGTTCTTTTGTCCCAACTCAAACTTTTTTAAGTTTGACCAAGTCAGTAGTATAATAGATCAACATGTAGAACACCATATTAGTTTCAATAGATTAATCATACAATACATTTTCATACTATATATATGCTTCAAGCTATCACCAAATTTGATATGAACATGTTTTTCTATAGACTTGATTAAAATTTTAAAAAAACTGACTTAGGACAAAACCAAAACTTCAAATCACTTGGAACAGAGGAAGTGGCCAATTAAGAAGAAATCAGACATACCTGAGTGCTGCACACGATGCCCTCTGAGTCGTCGGTGTGGGGAACAAACAACCCCCTTAACCTTGGTGATGGCTTGAACTCGCTAAAGTCATCAACGGTGAGGTGACAGTGAGCCACGAGGAAGGGCATGCCCTCGCCGTTGCAGTCAATCTCTAACCTGCCGTCGGCGTCGGCCCTGAGGCGGCCGGCCATGGGGTAGAAGGGCACGAGGGCCTTGCCCAGTGCTGTCTTCAACTTAGCCACGTCGAAGAAGTCGTCGACGGAACATCGGCGGCGATAGAAGTGGACGAGTGGGGTGTAGCCTCTGTTGGCTAGCATGAGGAGGTCGAGTGGTGACAGCCGCAGTGCTTTTCGCGGCGTGTCCTTGGCCGGCGTTACAAAGCAGGACTCTACCACCTGCACCTCCTCCTCACCGGCCATTCCGCAGTAGCTGTTTCTCCTTCCTGCTTTCGATGTCCCGTTCTCTTTCTTTCTTCTAGTGCTAGCTACTTCGTTAGACATGGGCACTGAGCATCAATTATTTAAAGAGAAGGATCGCATTTCAAAAGCAGCAATTATTTAAAAGCATCTTTCTTTTGACATATGATCAGAATCAACCGGGACCAGACAATTAAAGGTAGTAAATAGAAGTTTATGGAGGCATTCATGGTGATATGGAATCCTATCGTTTTCTTTACGCACAGCTGTAGTACGGTACCATGATGCTGTCTCCCACTGATGGAAATCAAAAGACATTGGTGGCCCATCTCCATCGTCAACTAGTGCTACTTCAGTGTCTCGGTTAACCTACG